AAAGGTATCTATTTTTGTTCGTTTATTGTAGTTCGTGTGATAAAATCCGCAAATGGTGATCAAATATACCCTCAAGTCTATGATTTTGTTATTTTTCGCGGATCTGATCTGCAGGAAGTGTCTGTTAGGGAGTTAACACCGCAAGATATCTTGGTGGAAAACGATTCCGCGGTAAATTTGTCCAAGTTAAATAATTCGGCTTAGGTTTCTTTAAAAGAAGTTTCCAAATCATTTGAGCCTGAAGTATGATTTTTTTACGCAAAAGAATCCTTTAGAATGCATTTTAAGCATCCGAAGGTGTGAAAAATGTTAATTAGTTATCCTTTGTACAATTTGTTTACTGATGTTGGGCTACCTAGAATTTCCCTATTCATAATGCGTGAGTATAACGACTTTTGTGAATGTTAAAGCCCTGCTTTTAATGTACAGGTAAGTGTGTCAAATTTTGGCAATCCTCAAAAAATTTTATTTTATATGCAAATGGTTTCAAGATGGGGTTTTGTTATTTTTTTCCCTTTGGAACTGTTGAAATTGAAAGAAAATGCATGTTTATTACTAAGGTTTTTCATAAAGCTTTGTCATCGTTCAAGTTTTAGCTTCAGTTTTTGCCTAGGGTTTGTGTGATCAAAGAATTGAGGTCCAGTAATTAATTTTAAAATTTTGGAGTCATCTTAATAAGCAAAATTCTTGCCATTACTTCACTCTTGCTAGTGATCCACTAATAAAAGGGTTTAATAAATTTTGAAAGAGGGGTGAGGAATTGTATTAAACAGTTAGTTCTTGTTTCGTTGAGGAAGGTGAAGTAAGACCAAAGTGTGAGTCCTTAAGCATTCGTCACATTTTGAGTCGATTTTATGTTAACATTCATGTCCGTTCAACTATCGGGAATCACTCACCTTTGCTTCTCCACCCAAAAAGTCCCGACAGTGAGTTAGTTTCATTTCTGCATTGCGCTGCTTCCTATGCAGAAGGACACTTGTTGATTAAGTAGCTTTCGAAACTTTCCAATCCAGGTGGAATTCTTCTGACCGAATACGACATAATTGCCTGTTTGCTCAAATTAAATTTAAGGATCCCATTATTTTTCTTTCTTTTTCCCTTTTTGTTTGGTTAACTATTTTTGTTCGCATTAACTTTGAGGCTAGAATCTAACGAGTGCTTTAAGCAATGTCCGAAGTCTACCCTAAACACAAAATAAACTTTTTCTTTCACCCAAGTATAGAAATCATTTTTGATGTTTTACAATTTGGCCTTTGCAAAAAAATGTTGTCCTCTACCGCCTATATGGTTGACATCATTAGACTTTTGCTTGCACGTTAATTCAAATTTCAGTTCGGTATTGTTTTAGGGTTCGGAAGACATCCTATTCTTACGGTTTTTAGGACTATTGGATTAATTTGTGCTAGTGCAGGAGTTGAGGTACCACTCCACCCTACTTTTTCGCATTCTCTGCTAGTGTTTTCCCCAGCTCATTGTGATTATAGGTCCCCCTTTATATCAGCATTTACCAGTCATAAGGTCATACGTGAAATAGAAGAGGTAGAAACGACGATGCCTGGGGCTAATTTGATTGCTTCCAGAAGCAGTTTTAAGGAGCTTCCTGTAGTTACGACGTACCATAAAAACAGCAGAGAAATATATAGGTGTACCAACCGATTGAGGACCATTTGTGGAAATTCGCCTATTCAAAAACCTAAATATGCTGGCTTCATAGTCTGATTCAAAGCTGAAATTGTCAATTGATGCTTGACAGTCAGTCCATTTGACACGGCTAATCAATCTAGTCTAGTGCTATATTTGAAATCACAGGTGACTTCCTTGATTTATTGTTCAATTTAGAGACAATGGAAGAAGACTGTCTAGTTTCTGTTCAAAACTTTAAGAAATGACGTTTTAATGTATTGGCTTTGGATAACAAGTCTCCGGTTTATAACTTTGGAACTGGAAACCTGAACCAACTATGAGCCTTTTGAAAACTCGGCTTGCAGTATCAGCTCCCAGGTTTGTTTGAAAAATGCAAACTTTGTAGAACCTATTTTAATTTGGAAAATAAAGTTTCCATGTAGTATCCAGTTAACTGCGGCTGCTGCTGCTGTCCATCTCCAGTCCGTTTTTTTGGCTATCTTGAATACAATTCTTACTGCTTCTTCAAAATGGCCCTAAAGATCAACGTTTCGGATTTGTGTAAATTTTAGTGTGTTTTGACGAATAGTTCCAACTTTGAGGTGCTGAGATGAAGCTTCCTATTGTCGCCACTGTTGTGTTCCATGACTATGCAAGACAAAAATTCAACTGATGTCTTTTGTCTCCTTCCAACTCTTCAAAATCTTAGCGTAAAGAGTGGGATTTTTTCGCCAATCTACTCAATTGCTGGTTAAATAAAGTCATCGCTTAAATGAAATCCGAGTATTGAATGAAGAATTGTGTGTGGTATTAAGGTGAGCGATTGAAAGACCTCTCTCTGTGGTGTGTCACTGTCTCCTATTTGAGTTGTTGCGCTAAGGGTTCTCACCTCTACCCTTGCCAGAGTTATGAACGTGACCAGCGCTTCACGGTTCCACGTAAATGGCAAATTAGGGATGCCCTCCAATTGTTAGAATAATAAGAGTATTGGCAAAATGAGACTTACCGTCAGGCCGAAAACGCTTAACTCCCATCTTTTTGACGAGTTTGTTTGCAGTAACTTAACCCTGTATAATACTGAAGCATTCAGTCAAATGATTCATCGGTGGGCACTAGACAGAACTCCCAATTTTTGTTTTAATCATTTAGGCAGTTTGATTATGGGCTCTTAAATAAAAAAATGAAGAGACTTGAAAACTACCTTAAGTGACTTACCGATTCGTGTGTAGAGTAGCTGAGAAACCTCTTTGCAAGACATCACTTACTGCCAAGTGCGTGACTGCCGTCTTCCTAGTCATTTGTAAGCCCCCAAAACATCCCAAAACTGTTCTGTGGCCTTTTTTAGTAAGGAATTTTTTTTGAGATCATTCACAACTTACCCATTTGTGCCTTGGGTTGGATTGGATACTATTTTTAGAACATTTTGTATTTTCCCATGGTGAATTGGAATAGCCGCCTACTTTACCATCTCAAGAGGGAAAGTAGGCTTTCCACCCTGAAACGATCGTCTTGAGCAATGCTTGTGCAATGCCCCTACTCTTAAAAGGAGCTTGTGGAGGTCTAAACTCCTAGCTAACGGCATCTGCCCTTATTGAAGAGATCAGTAGCTCCTAACCTTTTTTAAATAAGCTCTAGTGTTAGAAGTGTCCCAACAAGAATTCCTTTTCATTAAAGCAGTGACAACTTGGCACGTTGTAACTTCAAATTAGGGATGAAATTACCTTTAAGGAAATAAATGGCTTTTTCATCCACTCATCTTTAAGAAAGCTATCTAGAGTTTGGTTCAAATTTGTGCTAAAAAATGCCGGAAAGACAGCACATCTGACCGTAGTGACAGATAGTGGTATCTTTAAATAAGTTTCCACGGAAGCTGACCGTTTTTTATCCATTTGAACCATTCTAAAATCTGCTGAAGTAGTCCATGCACCTGTGTTGTTTGAAGTACCAATGTCCTTTTCTTAGCTCTTTTTGCCGAAAACGTCTAATGACACCTAGTTATCGAAATGACGTCTGTTGGCATCCGCCAGGTACAATTCGTATGCCATGTGATTGACAAGTGTATGCTTTTCGTCACATGAATCGGGTGCGAGGCCTCGCAAATGGAAATTCGCCTTGTCAGATGTATAAACAGCTCCCTCTGCCCTCCCTCTAAGCGGTGATTGCCTGTTGCTCTCAGAGGCTTATACAAATCATCAACGGCTTTTTCTAGTGGCTGATTAAAATCAACTATCTCTTCAATCAAACCTGAGGGCAAAAAAATTGACCTCTCGCAAAAATGAATTGAATTAGTTGAAGAGTTTTTTAAACACATACCTGCAGTAGCACCAACAGCACTTTGTAGACCCTCTGACATTTTGACCTTTAATTTTCTCACTTTCCTACTAATATCATTTTGAACGGCAAAAAAATAAGACATATGGGGAACATACTCCTTGACTCTTTGTCCGAAGGCCTGCTGACAGATACATTTTTTGAATAAGTTTGCCTTGCTTTAAGACGTCCCAACTGTAATTCCTCGTTTCAGGCAGAACAGACAACTTACGGGTTTCTGCCATCAACGTTTCATTGTTCCCTTTATTTCCAAAATCCTTAGTGGAATTGCAGCGTTCTTCGTGATCCCACCTTCCTTCCAAATTATCGTTCAAGAGCATGCATGCTTATAGCAAGATCCCTTTCCACAGACTTGGAGCAGGGGGTTGTGGCTCCGCGACATCCAGCCTTCTGGCAGCACCTCTAACCCTCTGTCACATACAAGTCTCCTGCCATTCCAACAACTGCTCTCTGTTTAGTATATTTCTGTTGAGACTTCTTCCTATTCTAGCGATTTCGTTAATTACCAAAGAACTAATCATTTGGCACTTTTAAGTGTGAATTCACGATTCGCTTAAGCGACGATGTGGGAACTTGCGACCCTGTCCAGTTATAGCTGCCTGCCATTCAACAACCCCTAAGTGACGACTTTTATTTTTATCCAAGACATAAAACTTGTTGATTGGAAGGGATTCCATCAACAATTTCATAATGGTAGGCTACGATGCAATCTGATCTTTTCGCAGCGACCCACAACATTCGGTATCATTTTGTCGTTTTGAAGTTTTGTAGCTAGCAGCCTTCCTTTGCAAACTCAACTTTCCTAGCCAGTTCATTAAAGCCTAGAAAAGAGGATAACCACTGAGAGGAATCCTAAGGAATTAGTGGTGGTGATGATGTTGAGAATGAGGTCCTCTTACTCACCTTTCCATCCTAATGTATAAATCGCCCCAAGAGTAAGTTTTACGATGGTAAGGAAAATGAGGCGCTGCGTTACGTTATCTTGAAGGAACAGGAAGGGAACATCATTTTTGAGAGCCTTCAAGGCAGGTAGACCTCAGTAGTAACACCTGTTTGGGCAAAAGCAAGTGAATAATTGCATCTGTGGCGCTTGACACCATGGGCCAGTGCAGTGGTTTAGAAGTGTTGAGGATGTGGTTTGGAGAAGTTTACTCTCCGACATCTGCACGTGTTTGGGGTCCATTTTCTGAGCTTCTACCGCTTTCTCCTTCTTAGTTGGGATATGATTTAGGCAATTGTTTCATCACTCACATTGGACAACACCTCAACATGATGATGCTTCAGAAGTTCATCTCGAGCGATATTTTTAACAACAATGGGCAATGCTTCATTGTTACGAAGGGTAGAGGAACTGGCCGAACATGGAGTGCTTGTCTGAGTGACCCATCACCTAAACCCATTGTTACAATCATTTAAGTTTGGGAGGTAGGCTGCTCTGTTACCCCCTTCCGCACCTTCTCCAAGTGCCATGCAGTACATGTGAAGGGAAACTTCTGCAGCTTTTGCACCGAGGTGAACTTGGTCCGCTGAGCAGACGAGCTCGGTTTGCATTCATACGGTTCAACTGCCTTCTGATGAGAGTTCACACTAACCAAAAACTCCATGACAAATTACGATCGCCTAATAAAAGTTGGCCATGACTTGAAACTTCCTCGCGTAGAATCGCTATTCCTAACCATACCTCCATTGTCCTGAAGCGTGCAAACTAAAATCTCCCTATCAAAAGCACAACTTTACTGATTGTAGCTACCACGATTCCTGTACGAATCGTGGAACAATGCGTCTGGCGAATTAAAATCAGCCTTCAACTCAATCATCCCCCAAACCATAAATCGATCTTTTCTTCATAAATCTTGCCGCTTTTATGAATCCCTATTCCATAGCATCAGTTCATGACGCCCCCCCCCCCTCCCACAAGTATTATTTCATTCCAACAAATTCGGCAAATACCTCGCCTTCGATCAGCCCAACCCGCAGTCGTAAAAAGGAATCTCGTTTAATCACAGCTCTCCACCTTTTATCAGGTCAAATGCCATCCACCGCCACCATCCTGAGGGCAAAAAAAGGTCGCACCGCCCACACATCCGCTCTAGCAACAGGTCCTATCCTCCCTCCCCTCCCCCGTTGTCTCGCGCTCCAATGGAACTACCGTCGTTTCCCCCTCTCCACCCACCCACCCTGCGAAACAAAAGGCGCAGTAGTAAAGCCACTGGTTTCTTTTTTCTCGTGCTTTTTTATTGTTTGTACCGCGTGTCTATATATATAAAGTATTAGAATACAACAATATTTATAATATGTACGTAGAGAGAGGTGTGTGTGCTTGTATAATGGTAATGTATGATGGACGAAGATGTTGACAGCAATCGTTTGTCAAAGAGCTCAGTCAGTCAGTCATTCACTAGGAAAGGTGAAGGAGTGGTGCGTCGTACCACCCAAAAGCGACGCGAGTGTTATGTACACAGAGGAAGGGAGGAATGGATGGATGAGTGAATGCGAGTCGCCTTTGTGTCACTGCTGATGCTGCGTCTGCGCCTGTTGTTGTTGCTGCTGCTGCCGCTGCATCATCTCGGTGAGGTTGCTCAGCATCTCGCCCTGAGTCCGGATGAGCTGGGTCAGTCGACTTACCTGAGTCTCCAGCTCATCGATCTTGCGACGCAAGAAACGCGCCTCCAGCACACTGCAACTGCAAGAGAAATGATGATGATCGTTCAATACAAGGTCAGTCAAAATTTACAGAACAATTGGCTATTGCTGGCACCTAAAACGCTCTCGACGACGCAATTTTGGTGTTGCAATGATGCGAGAATATGCAGGCACTGTAGGATGAGGTTAAAGGTTGTGTCGAATCCAAGCTTGTGATCTGAGCAGCCTTATCGACAAATCAAAGCTGTTCGCTGGACGGAATGGAAATGATGCCATTTAATTCTCCATCATCATCCGTCACGATCTCAGCTCAGATGTACTTTCCACGCGACACCTCGAAGCTCATCGCCAAGACAGAATTCCTCCGCTTGAAAAGAACTTCACTCCGAAACCAACAGACAACGTAGACGAATGCCATGCTCTGTTCACCTAGCTGCTACACCCTCGCCTCGCCGAACACACTCCAACAAAACCCCTTTTGAAAGGGACAGTAGAATTGGTTCCAACGTTCCAACTGATAACAACGTTGCAAAGTAGTCTTCACGAGAGCCACTTTCGTCTCAGCCCAATGCCATATTGCCTACCGCCCTGGCGTCATCTCAGATGTCTAACGCACTTGTGGTGGAGGGTAAAGTCTACCAAAGTAACCGCTCGCTCGCATTCAAGGCGTTCATACTGCTACCTTGCGATTCTCTGATGCAATCAGCGCTCGCGATTTTACCAACAGTGTTTGAAGATGAGACAAGGCGAAAGGGAGCAGCACCCAAACACCATGCATATTCACACCAGTGGTGGGCGCATTCCCTTTGCAAAATCGCAAGTTTCACGTCTACTTCGCACCTCTCCTCTTGGATGCGAACTCGCACAGCATTCGTAATTTCGTTTCTAAGTCGCGTCCTTCTGAATTTCGGTCAGCCGACAGATAGTCGCCTAACATGGCCGACAAAGTGACCGAAAAGGCATAAAGTAGGTGAAGTGTCACAAGTCACGAGTGAAATCCGCGTTCGCTTAACTCGTTAGGCATTCTGCTTGATCGATTCCTCACTCATTACAGCATCAAGTTGACAGATTCCGTGGACCACGCAGCAGGCTTTGAATTCTAGACTCGCGGAAAGCAAGCGATTCATCGCAGACGCCCTCAGCTACCAGGTGAAAGTAACACTAATCAATCGCCTTTCCTAAAATAAACTTTGTGCTCCACGCAGGAAATGTAGCGCAACCTCAACTAACCGTCACAACCAGCATTTGGAGCAACACATCGGCTACCAAAGTAACTCCATTTCGTACAGTCAATCTTCAAAGTATCTAGTTTAACTGGAAAAATGTCCCTAGATGCCTCAACAAGAAAAAACAGCAAACCGGACGCTAAGCAGCCTCTCCTCAGAATCAGGACCCAACGACGGCGGTGCGGAGTGAGAAAGCACAGGAAGCCTATCCTCTGACACAATCTGGACTGTCCGCCCCAACGCAGTGGTGGTTCCAGGCTGTGGTGCCTGCAGCTGTGACTGCTGTGTTACCAACGGCACACCAGAGAGGATGGCGGTGACGGAAGGGTCGGCAGCGTCAGAGCAGTAAGAGGAGGACGGGGAGGAAGAAGAGAAAAGACTTTCAGGGAGAGGCGGCGGTGGCTCCTCTGTTTCATCCCTACTGGAGGCGAGTGATTGGGGTGATTCGCGCGTTGCAACGCCTGCTGCAGCGACTGTGGCGTCGTCATCGGCTGTGAAGTCCTCTTTCTTCATTACCTTAGCGGAGAGAGGGAGTGCGGCGAGTTAATGTCGGATTGTTGAGAAATGCCAGCCACCCGATAAACGAAAATAGAGCATTCGAACACAGTTCTGGTAACCGACAAGATGAGTAGATCGTTTATTTGAATCCGTCGGCGACTCAAGCTTCTGACAGCGGAAGCTTATCGAATTTATTCAACTCAACCGAAGACAACGCAAAGGATGACAGCCAAAATCAGAACAGAGATACAATTGTCAATAATGGGTAGAATTTCATGAATATCGTAGGCTTTTAGCATTACTTCAAAGATGACCATCTCCGTGGACATCAGTTTGCTGCGAAACTTCTCAATACAGCACGTTTTCAGTCAAGGGAAAGGTTATGAGCACCAGTCATTTGGATTTGAAACGAAATTTGGTTGCCTCCTCATCAACAAAGTTAACGTCCACGGTGAAGGCTCCGAGTTCAAACATTTCCACTCGTTCCCATCAAAGCCGCGAATATAATGAGGCAGACAGCCTCTTGTGCAGATCAAGCAACAGCTTGATGACCCTCCGCCATCTTCCGGATGCATCAACATTCAACCGAGCAGATAATGTTGATGATGTTGCTAAACGCCCACAATTCATGGTCTAGTCAGCTCAAAACGGGAAAAGGTGGTGAGTGGTTACAGCCTGTCTCACACCTAAACAGATCTGGGCTCCGCAGAACCGCCATGCCCTCCTCGTTGGGAGAGGATACAAACATAGGCAACCCATCCAGATGGAAAAATCGGTAGGGGCTAAAAATTCCCGAAATTCAAAGACATGCTCAATGAATGGAAGAAGACGATCGGCCACCACAAAACCACGTAAAATGACCCACCTGAGAAATGCCAGTGGCAGGAGCCGCAGTGGTATTGCGATTCTGTTGAAGACGGTGCATGAAGGCCAACTCCTCCTCAGTGTAGCCACTGTAGTTGTCCTCCTCGGCCACATCCTCCCCGTTACCAATGTCGATGTTACTCCTGCCATCATCATCATCATCACTGCTATCATCGTTTAGCCTTCCTGGAGATGCTTCGGATGCTGAAGCCGTAATACCACTGTTAACCTCGTCCTCTTCCACCCTCTCCGTTTTCGTCTGGAAAGAAAGGGTGGCGTAGATGTTACTCAAACCCCGTGAGTACTACTTCTCAAAACACTTGTGCTAATTGTCGCCAGGTCAAACCCACTACCAGACTCGCATGTCTTCTTAAGTCAGCCGACTCGATCAAGGAGAAGGGCAATCCCGCTTTTATCCTGCCCATTAAACTATCTAAACGTCGCAGACCAAAGGCATCAGTTGTGGATGGCTAAATCTACAGACCAAAGGGCGAAGAGCTGTCGAAATCAAGTCGGCTTTGCGCACCAGTCCCAGCCTCAGTTAGGAAACGAGACAAAGCATTGGCGACTTAAAGATCTCCAGAGAGGTATAGCTCACAAATATTGGCTCCTGAGTCCCACCTGAAGAGCCGATATTTCCCAAGGTTGCAAGAGCCTGAAGATAACTCTTGAAAGCAGAAACACTATGGAGGTAAAAAAGCGGCAAAGAATAAGAATGCGATGTTGGGGAACCACTGTACACCGCCCATCCCATTTGACCATTTTTTTCTCCAGGACAAATGTCCTTGAGTAAAGCGATCGTCGTAGGAACTGCACTCTCCTACGCGGGGGTGTTGTGCCTTCCAACATTTGGCCTTCACCAACACTGTTAGTTCCCCAGCTTGTCGATTTGTCAAGTACCACAGTGCCACTTAAATCCGGTCAACAACTAGACCACCTCTAGCTCATTCAACTGATTGAGACTAACCACGATGGAAAACGGTGGAGATATTTTTGAGACGGGTGCCGCTACCGTCGCCGACGTCGTCGTTTCTGCTGTAGAAGCATCGGTCGGCCTGCCAGCCGATACCGTCGCCTGTACAACACCAGGAATGATAAAGTGAGGAGTCTGAGATTGCAGCTGCGGCTGAGACCGGACAGCAGGCAGGACAGTGTTGAGGCACTTGATCAGATCCTGTTGAGTCGTATTCCCGCCTCCTGCTGCTGCCACGGCTGCTGCGGCGGCAGCAGCAGCAAGATAAGACTGATGGAGAAGAAGGGGTGGGAGATCTGTGGAGGAACCCGCCGGGTGTGCAATCACTCTAAGGTTCAACAAAAACAACAACGCGTTAAGTGACCGTTGGATAGAGCATAGGCGCACACCCTATTGCTCATATGAGGTGGGCCTGGATGGACAAATCAAAGGCGGGTAGGCGGTGGAACCCAGAAATGGGCGAAAGGAAGGGTGGAAGTGAGAGTCACATATCAGCAATTACAGGCGCAACCACTTCAAAATACGCAAGAAGTAGCGAAAGCAAAGCTTTGAGTAACTACTTCTCCAAGTTTACCAGATGGTACAAATGGCTGCCTAAAGACATTCCAAGTGCAAACTTATTTGCACTGATGAGCATTCAGCAACACAGATGAATGAGCCACTTCCATGTTAAGATGTCCATAGCAAAAATGAAAGCTTATTGAAAACCACAAGAAGCAAGGAGCATGCCACCGAAATCCGCAAAGTACACCGAAAACACATCGGACTGGAAAGAAGCCCGTTCAGTGGCTCGAAGAAACATCCATATCCCGTCCATCCCTTCCATTGTATCAGATGACCAGAAAGCTCGTGACTCCTATTAACATGCGCACAATAGTTTATGTGCGGCACGGTATGGTATCATCCCTCGCAATCTCTACCCCTTCTCGGCCGTTAGAAACCCTCATCGAAAGGCGGCTGGACCGTATGAAAGCGAATCGAGCTCGTCCGCTCAGCGGACCAAGTTCACCTCGGTGCAAAAGCTGCAGAAGTTTCCCTTCACATGTACTGCATGGCACTTGGAGAAGGTGCGGAAGGGGGTAACAGAGCAGCCTACCTCCCAAACTTAAATGATTGTAACAATGGGTTTAGGTGATGGGTCACTCAGACAAGCACTCCATGTTCGGCCAGTTCCTCTACCCTTCGTAACAATGAAGCATTGCCCATTGTTGTTAAAAATATCGCTCGAGATGAACTTCTGAAGCATCATCATGTTGAGGTGCTGTCCAATGTGAGTGATGAAACAATTGCTTAAATCCTATCCCATCTAGGAAGGCGAAAGCGGTGGAAGCTCAAGAAACGGATGAGCATGGAAGACAGATGACAGATAGTAACCTTCCGAAACGTCGCTATCCTAAAGCGTTGGAGTAAAGAAGCGCACTACACAAATGGGTACATGCATTGGTCATCAAAAGATGACCCCAGTGCCATCAGGTCAAAGACTCACCTGCCAGTCTCACTCGCCGCAGTCAGCGCTTTGATAGGCACATTCAACGTGATGGTGCGTGGATTCGCAGTGACAGCGGTGACGGTGGCAGCGATGGAGGGAGTTGTGGTAGTAGCAGTGACGGAAGTAGTGGTAGTGGTGGCAGCAGTGGCAACCACACCAATCGGGGTCGTTGTAGAGCCAGCAGCGGCGGCCGCTGCAGCAGCAGCAACCTGTTGCCGGGTCGCCAGGGAGGCGAGCCAGGACACCTGGGTCTTGTAGGTTGGATGAAATGAGAATTAGGGGGACGAATAAAAGAGTAATTAATTAAAATGAATATCAGTATGGCGCAAAGCCCGACAAACAGGCATTCGTGGACACTGAGATGTGAACCGAAGGCGGACTGATGGATGAAAAAAATTGAAAGGTAGACAAAAGAGTCGATGAACGGAGAAATCAAACTACCGAACGGGTGAAATGGGAGAGGGACAGATTTGTTCATAGAGGGACACATGGCTGATAGATGGAAGATGAAGATATTAGCGATTGGGTTGATTGATGGATGAATGGACGGTGAATTGAGTCCAGTGACAAACGATGATTAATACAAATGGATGGACGGATTGATTTCACATTCAAGCGGATACAGATAATGATGCATGCGACCACAATAATGAGTCTGGGTGAATGGATACCCGGGCGAAATAACGGCGATGAGAATGAAAATATTAAAATAAAACGACAGTCGCATGGGTAAGGATGAATGAACGATGAGTTGGAGGCGAATGGACAGGTGGTTCGACGCATAAAGGACTCGATTATGAATAGGTGAAGGGACGAATGGGTGCATGGAAGAGTCGAGGAGGCACAAGTGGACGGATAAACCGTCAGATAGACGGAGGAGTAGATGAATAAGTAGACAGATGGGTAGGAGAGTGGATGATAAACCAGAAGTGGAAGGACGGACTGACAAATTGATTGACGCATTCACAAGGAGGTGATAGATAAGCGGTATCAACCCCCTGAAACCACTCACCTCTTTGAAGGACTCCGCGCCAGCTGCGGTTGTGCTTGTCGCATTTGCAACATCATTGACGGAGGTGGTACTAGTGGTGGTAGTAGTAGTTGCCGTCGTGTTGGTGTTCGTTGTCGCTGTCTCCTCGTTGGAGCAGCCAAGACAGCGACAACGTTGATTACAAGGAATTTTTGCCTAGTAATAGGGAAAACACGCAACCTCAGTCAGTTTAAAACTACCCTTTCTTCCAAATTTCAATAGTCAATAAATTTCGCGTATGTATTCTTGCTGAAATATTCTTTTCTTGAATATGCTCGGTTTTGGGACCGAATCATCAGTTGAAGCAGTGCCAATGAACGGTAAATGTGTTCAAAATCCACTGAACCATCGACATCTTCAGCCTACCACGTTAGAGTTCCTAGCCCCCTAGCCTCCCCGTACCGTCACATGCCTTCCCATAAAAGCTGGCGCAACTCGAATATTCCACCTGTTTAAGGTTGGATGAAAACAACAAGAACTTGAATTTGGTCATGGTAATGAACACCTGAAACCCACGACCTTGAAGCATACGAGAGTTGAGGAAGCTCTGATGCAGCTTCAATCAAAACTGGCAAAATATGATCGAGATACCCCACCACGGAAAGGAGTCTTTAACTCCTTTGCGGCAAAGTGCATTTTAAAATTGGTAAATATTTACCATGATAAAGAGGCCACAAAGAGGTGTACTGTCAAAATCCACTAAGGCCGCTTCATTCGGAAGTGAGCACCGTGTAAAGCAACCAAAACGTTCAAATAGCAAGAAAGAAAGAAAGCTAACTCACAAGGTAGCACTCGCAGTAGCCCTTCAAACAGTGCGACCGTTTGCATCGACAGCCCAGCACGTGTTTTCCCGAGATTTCTGTGTGAAGAAAACGACAACGGTCAGTGGACAGTGAAACGGATTTAGAGGTGTCGAACAGGCTCGGAATGGAGGAAGTGGGGATGGTTGAAATCATCAATGAACCTGTTAGTGGTGAATAGACAGGCAAAATGATCATTAATGGACCGACTAGTGGTGCGCTGAAGGAGAGATTGATGGATAGGTGATTGGAGTGGTGGCGAGATGAGTCAAGACAGGTGTTTGCAATCAGACAGGCTCAGAGACAGAGAGGTTACAGAGCAAAGGGGGGCTAAAGGGCGGACTCACCAATTTTGGGTTTAAAGGCGAGAGGGTTACGCGAGAGCGCAGTCCGCATAGCGACATCGCGAGTCTGCTTCGAGATGTCGTCGGCAAGGTTGTTATAGCAGTGCCGACAGTTGCAGCTATCCCCGCAGGCCCTCCCGGCAGCAAAACACTCGCAATAGAGCTTTAGGCACTTTGATCGGCTGCAGGAGCAGATCTGTTGCGAAGTGCTCGTTGTTGTTGATGCTGTTGTTCGTGCCACCGCTGTTGGTGATGCTGTCGATGACAACTTATTCACCGCTGCTGTTACCTGCACGCCTCCAGTGGATGCTACTGTTATCCCTGTTGTAGTCGGTTGAATTGGTGCGTCGGGCTTGGCTAAAAGCGTAGGGAAAGAACTTATTGAATCTAGGGAGAACTTCTCAACCAAGAGATGAGACATTTGGGTGAATATATGAACGGTCGGTAAGAAAAACGATTGGAGAGAAAGATATAAGAACATGGTGAGTAAATTTAGAGTGTCTGACTTAGCTAGGGCGGGGTAATAAAAAGACCTTCTCAAATTTCCGATGCCAGATGGTGGATGGATGGAGTCGGCGGAATGGTTGGTAGATCGGTCGATGAACAGCTAGGGAGAGATGGGGAACGGGGGGCTGATGAAAGGTTGGGAGGAGTGGAGAGACAGATCCACAGGCGTGTGAAGGCACGAATGGCCCGTTAGTAGCAAATGGAAAATTAGAAAGGTGAATCAACTGGCCGATTGAACAGAGGAATGCTTAGTTGGGCGGTTCGATAAACAAAACGGCGCACGGAATAGAGGAAAGACCAAATTACAAGGTGGGTAATCTCCTAGAAAGTCCAAGGAAAAATGAAGACGCATAGACAGTGGCCAAATGCAGAAATGGGGCTAAACAAGCGGATGGACCACTAGCCAAATGAACGGACAAGACCCATGGCTAAAAATGGATCAATGAATAGCTCTTTTAACACTAACCACAAGTAGCAGAGACCGGTATTCTTAGCCCATTAGGGAGAATCAACTCTAGCCCAATCGACTGTGGCGCCTGCTGGGCCGTCCTCGATCCCGTCGTTGTCGTCACCTGCTTCTGCTGAATTACTGCAACCGCCGTCGGGGCCGTAGCACTCCCACCAGCAGCGGCGGTAGCAACCAAACCGGTGGTCACGGGGACAGCTGTTCCATTTGTGGTCGCGAGTACAATGGCCGGGGGAGGAGTGGGAGTTCCATTTTTCAGCTGGCTGGGAATGGTAGCTGAAGTGGTAGTTCTTGGACGGATACTGTCCAGGCGACTGGAAAGGGGTACTTTGAAGGAATCAAGGGAGATTGTCGTTGTAGCTGAGGTTGTGGTTGCTGTTGTCGTTGCCTGGGGTTGTGGTAGCACTGGCGCTGGCGCCTGTCGTGTGAACGTAGGACGTTCTGAAACGGTCAATATCACTTAGGACTATTTCAACGACCTTGTAACCTTGACCCGTGCTGCTTAAACGATAATCGAGTATTAACCTCTGGCTTACTTTATAGTCTAACATTCAGTGCCTTCGAATCCAGCAGTAACTAGGGGGCTAAGCGGATGTTCCAGGTCCTTGTGGATCGACTGCCACGCTGGTGACAGAAACCTGCCCTACGCTACTACTTTCACTGACTTTCTATTGGTCGATTGTTACTTCACTTCCTGAATGACATCGATGAGAGCAGTGAGCGAACCAATCCCAAGCTCGAGCATAACGACAAGCAATGAAACGAGACCAGAGCTAAATGATTTTAATATGTCCGCGGAAGAAATAGATATAATAGTCATGTGAATTTCCGTGCCCCATCTGAATGCTCACTACCTCCCCACGCTGCTGAAGGTGAGAGCAACACAGACGAAGACCTGAGGAACGACAAGAAAGTGAAAAGTAAGGAATATGGCTGTGTAAAGCCGACTTGTGTTGTGTATTTCGCCGACTGACTCTAACTTGTGGGCAAACGTCCCGCGCTCGCTGTAGAACATCGTCCAGCCACGCATCCCAAAACAAATTCGGCACTATCTACCGATACCTTCACGCTGGGATGCCAAGTAACAGTTTCTGGTAGCGACTCGAATGTCAGCAGTTACTTCAGTAAGCTAGGGGCGTATTTGATTGACTGACAAAGCAGCATTGCAGTCTATTGTTCGGTTGATCGCAATCATTTTAGTGGTTTGGATCGAGGATACATGATCTAGCTTAAACAGATCTGCGGATGTCGTGCAGGCAAGATCGAACTGTCAAGTTCAAAAGCACATGTCAGACAAGCGGTTGAAGATCAGTGGAAATTCTGTGTGCAGAACTAGAGTTCCACGTGGTTCTGCTTGACCACGACTGAGCTTAACAATGTTTCCAGATGAACTTCAGAGTTAAAAAAAACCACTGACCTTTTGGCAAGACTAATTAAAGTAAACACAACGGTTCACATAGCATCAGGGTCAGTTACATTTGATGGCATGGATGGCCTTTTGAGGAGTACGGTTAAGCAAACTGGGCTTTGCAAAATAAAACTGGGAAAGTCAGAAATCTACGACAAGATCACATAGTCCATTCGATGTTAAAAAGTACTAGTATGATGCAAAAGAAACGGAAGGAGCTTGACCAATGATGCAAGAGGGTCATGGGGATACCTCAACTGAAGATAATCTTGCACAAACATGACGGGTAGTGGAAAATTCCATCTTTATAGAAAAAGAGCTCGTAGAAAAGTGACGCATCACATAACACGGGCGACGTCTGTGGTCTGTGAGCGATCTCGTTCTTTTGGCTCAAACTTAGAGCGCTTTAAGCACGAAAAATTCCAGAAATATCCCTTACAAACGTATTCGTCGCACCAAGCCGCATTATATGAGCTTGCAGTCGCTTCTCACCACAAGATTTAGATATTAACATGAGGAAACCCAACCATTGCTCACCATCAATATGCATAGTAGACATGACAGTAAAGACAGCCATTAAAGGGATCAACTGGAAGGAATTAGCCTTTTAAGGCAAGAGGAGAAAGGACTCACCCATTCTCGTGCGTCCGGGTTTCCGTTTGGGCGGAGGAACTGAAATAAAAAGAGGGATAAAAATGACCATTAAAACATCCACATCGCTGCTATTCGGCCTGCTGCGCTATTAAATCAAGCGTTTCTACTGATTAAACCTTTCAGTAGCAAGGCTTCATGGTTTAGCACTTCAAGAAGTTTTGGATGACACTCAAGGCAGGGGTAGAAACTAACTCGGATAGCGAAAAGGTATGGCAAGACCGGTAATAAGGACTTCCAAGCAGTCATTGACAAGCGAATCGGGAAGACCTCTCAAGGAAAGAGCTGACTAA